AACGAACCAGCAGGAGAGACATGACGAAGACCAGGAACGCCGCCGGGCGAAGCGCCGGAAGGGAAGTACCTGCGGAGTATCCGCATACGGTTAGGGTCCATTGGACACCTACCTTACTTTGCAGTACTCCGTACCTACCTTAAGGTACCTTACCTCCATTCCGTGCAGCCGGCACCTTGGGGCCTGCTCCAAGTGCCGAAGAACGAAGCGGCCCAGGCACGACGTGCTAAAATAAAGGCACAGAGACGATAACGGCCACCATGCACAGGAATGAATGAGTTGTGGACGGGATGGGATGGGATGGAATGGAATGGACCTATTGGAATGGGTACGGATAATAGATTGGCCTTTGGCAATACCAATACCGCCCGGGCATGTGGAACGAACGAGCGAACGAACGAACGACGGGGCCGCGGACCAGCGAACACGGCCTGACGACGCGCGACACCACACAACACAAAGCACCCAGATTGTCAAGTCGGCCGGCCGGCCAGCCTGACAGGGTGCTTGTTTCGTCAAGGACGGAGGCAGCGAAGTGCGGCAAAGCACAGCACCCAGAGCCGGGAACCCCAGAGCGTCTCCCCCCCTCCCCCTTGGACGGCCAACAAGCAAGGCTAGGAGCCCCAGCAATGTGGATGAGGCTCAGGTCCCCGAATGAAGAAGAATGATCAACACATGGGTGGGCATCATGGATGGCCAATGAATGGCTGTGAATTCGGAGACAGGATGGGCAGGCTGCCCAAGGTACGGAAGGGTGGGTGAATGGTAAGAAATGGGCGATGGGCGGGAAGAGAGGCCACGGCAGCATGGGATTGAGCAGGCGAAGAGGACTGGAGGGGGGCGTGTACACAAAATGGACTTGAACGGGGGGAGGGGGGTGGTGGTGGTGATGCAATCCTTACGGCGCAAAAGCTTCGAGGAACATCAGGTTGAATGATTTTGGGTCTCGGCTCTTATCCCGGACTGGACACATTTCTATCAGCTTCTGCTGAGTCTTCACTGCTGTCAGTATGCCGGATTACATGGCGAGTGACGAACCTGAGAAGACACCATTCCTTCGTTTGGTCGCACTCATTGCCTAATCACCTTGCCGTACCATGCAGATGTCGCCTGTGCTTCTTCACGCATTGCCGCAACGCTGTTCTCAACGGAGCTTGGACGCGATGCTCATGCACAAGAGACAAACCATCTCATCATATCTTGAGATGGTGTGAGGCGCGTGTTCTCGCTCGCTTGACCAGCTGCTCTAGATTTAGCCTCTGAAAACAGGCGGCCTTTCCCACGACGGAATCAACCTTGTAGACAACGAGGGGTATCTGTACTGCTTGGGCAATATAGGGTTTCGAAGTTCGCCTGATAGCAAGCATGGAGGAGGAGGAGGAGGCCACGATCGAAGTATCGGCGGCGTGGCATCCGCAGTAGGCATTTAGCGACCATGGCCCCGCGCTGGCGGGTGGCGTACAATACTGGTTCAATGTAGCGTATCTGATCATGATCTATGATTGCCTCGCCGAAAACACAAGGCGATGTAGTAGCGGCCGCTGGCCTGCGGGTTGCGCTTCGCCAAGCCTTTCATTCTGACCGCATTGCTACTTGGGCAGCTCCACCAAGCGCGAACATACTTAGTAAAGTCAATGGCAGGGGTACGATACGCGACTGCGAGAAACAAAGCCTCCTGTCGCATTTTTTTTCTGTTTTAATTTCATTGGGCGACATGCTTACGGGCGCAGAACCATAGAACACTAGGGCACAGCAGGAGAGCCAACGCGAACAGAGTTGCGGCACGAGGAACTTTGCGGTTCAGAGTAAGGCCGAACATCCAACAATCTTGAGAAGATGCGCGATCGTCCAATTCGCTGTGCACATTACTCGGGTGGCAGGAAACACAACAGAAACAGATGGGACAACGTTTTCGCATCGTTCCGAACGGCCTCCTGGGACCCTTTGTTCATTGCCCGGAGAAGACATGCTGTCTCCCCGTTGTTGTTTTCTCCTCCTGCATCCAACAGCAATTTCGACGATGCACTGCAGAATATTGTCACGCAGCATAGGCCTTCTACACAGTGTCACTGTAATGTGTTCGCAGATACATGCATAAGGTACAATGAGTGGCAGCCCGTGCGGCTTTGAATGCACTAGGTATCGAAACTAGGAACCTGGACAGCGCGTCAAGTTGAGGAAGGTCGAAGCCAATGTGCCAAGACCGCAGAAATGCATGTGGCAGTGATGGACGCTGTGCAACAACGAATGTGTGTGTGAGTGGATGAGTGTGTGTCCTGCGCCTCTCTCGCACCGAGTTTTGAGCAAGTCAGACAGTGTATGTAGGACATGGATGGAATGAGGCGGAAACGAACACCATCTCGTCTGCAGGAACAAAGCATGCGAGGACTTGGGGGACGGACATGCCATGTTCAACCTCACAATGTGACGAATCAAGGTAGCCCCTGCTCCTCACCCGATTCGTCGGCAATGTGCCCTAGGTTCGGGCGCACATGAGGGTGTGTGCGAGTGGGTCGCCGTTTGTGCCTGTGTGCGCTTTCCATCTCGTTCTTCAGGTGTTGTGCAGTAGCAGGCTACGGATTCAACACTGCAGTCTCCTGTTCTTTCCCCGTTGCTGGAGTTTGGTGAAGTTCAGCATTCGGACGCTTGCGGCTGTTGGCGTTGTGCTAAGGTTGTCTTGAGGATACCTGGGTACATAGGCACCTTGCGCCGTGTGTACCAAATGCCAGCTTGGCCAGCTTGATCGACAGTCTTTGCTGAGGAGGTTGTGCACAGATGATGGAGCGGGCGCCACCTTCAATTGTGTAAGGCAGGTGTGGAAAGCTTAAGTCGTGCCTTGAGGTTTGAAAGTCTTCCATCCACGTGTGTACTTGGTGCCTTACGAACACTTGCTGCAGTAGTAAGCTGAATGAAGCCCGGTGCCGCTCTTCTGCGGCTTAGGCCTTGTTGCCTGGGACATGGAGTAAGGCACCTAGGGAGGCACTTGGGTTCCTGAGGTATCAACAAGTGTGTGCCTGGCTTCCACCAGTGTTTGATGCCGGCGAGTGCCTGCTTCTGAAACTTGACACTAACAACAAACCGCTCGGCCCAGAGTGCAAAACCCTCCGGCCCCGGCCCCGACCCCCGGCACGTCAAGCCTCTGCCGCCGGACGGGGTTGCGATATGGAAGACGTTCCTTACCACCCTCGCAGCCCATTCAATCCTGTCCTCCAATTCTGGTCCAACCAACCCCTTCTCCTCATCCAATCCCTTCCTTGCCAGCCAACGGAGCAACAGTCCTGAAGTCGGCCATCATTCGACAGGGCGGGGCCAGGCGAAGCGAAGCGAGGCGAGCCGGCTCAAGTTTGGTTAAGGAATGTGCTCGTGCTCTTGATCCCGCCAAACTCTCAAATGAGGCACGATGAACGCACACGCGTCGACAGCCCGGAATCGACGCCCTCACAGCCTCGCATCCTTGTAGTGAGCATTCCGAGTCACCGTCATTAAGAAATGTCACCATTCCCTGTTTCTGCTCTTACCATCTTCCCAGTTCCTTGCGCGCCCTGAAGGGGGCAAATTTGGATGTGAGCCCGCCATCAGACCGAGAGCGGGAGCGGGAGCAACAAGAGTCAGTTACCTGGCTAATTAACCCGGGCCCCTGTTCGTTGTTCAGTCTCTTTTTTTTTTTCTTTTTTTTTTTTTTTTTTCTCGAGGTAGTCCCCCAGGGACTGCCAGCCCCAGCAAGGACTAGCCTAGATAGCGCCCGCTCGACTCCCAGCTCCATCCACCATCTTTCTCTTCGAAATGGCACCCCAAGGTTGCAGGACCACGAATACCGTACCGACGCTCTTGCTCTGAGCCGGATCAACTTGTCTAGAAGAGTCCGATGTCCGTACAACGTTTGAATCTCGGCCGGCCGGACTTTAGCTTTGATGTGCAGAATGCATTGTCCATCGGCCATCGGCGATATCGCACTGCACAATAGGTACGGATGGATAGCTAGATAGCTAGGGATTCGCATCCCTCCGTGTTGGGTTGAAGCACGTCCAGCAGGGGCGTTGGAAGTAGGTAGATCAAGGCCGCCAATCGCCTCATGTTCCGACCTGCCGTAAGCGTGTGCGGACTGCCGAGGCGGCACTGCTCTGCAATGCACTGCAGCCCATTTCTGGTGATGATGGCGCCGGCTTCTCCAATCCCCAACCAACCCCAACTCCATTCCATCTGCTCTGCGGCAATCAGAGGAGTCCCCACACCCAACTGAACCTACCCCAAACAGCCAGCCAAGCCGGATTGGTAGGTTGGCATCTAAAAAACTGGGTAGCAAACCAAGGTACGTAGGTAAGGTACTGGCATCATGTCCTGGCGTGGTGTGAGGTGGCTGCGCACGGGCCAAACAGCGACCATGAAAAAAGCAGTCTCCTCAGCTGGGAAGCTGTATCCGCCAGCGTGCCGTATGTATCAATTTCATTCTCGACCCATGGGGGATGCTATTTTGATGTCAAGCCGATCTCTTCAATATGCCAGATACTCAATCCGCTCCCACGAGCGGGCGTCGCACAATGTCGAACAAAAGTCGACTAGTGCGGTGCGTGAGTTGTGCGGCCGGCCTGTCGTCTTATGGGCAAATGGCCTGATTTCTGCCGATTTCTAACCTCCGCATCCCTTGCTCTCCTCTCCATCTCGTCCCTCTTTCTGTGTCGACTTCTAACCAAGGTAGTAGTCTCCATTGCCCTGGGCGCTGAGGATGGTGGTGGTGGTGTTGGTGGTGTAAAAGGGGTCCTGCGGAAGACCAACGAGACGTCGATTGTGCTTGGGCCCTTCCGCTCGCCTTGTCGTCTGTCCTTGGTCCGCCTCACGTGGTGAGACCCTTCAATGAAGGGAAGGGCAGGTATCAATGCACGGTCAGGTCAGACACGCGGCGATACGGTGAGATAAACTTCCGTTGCCCAAGGCGGACACTGAGATTCCGCACTCCGCGGGGTTCCGCGATGCGATGGCACGGCTGGACACCGGCTCGCACCATGTTCAAAGGCGATGAAGGGAAATCGCCCAACCAAAGTCGAGATGATGGGGCGACCATTGACGTGAAGAGGAGCATTCAAGCATTCTGCACTGCTGTAAGTCTCAGATACCTATGCATCAGTACGACCGACTCACGAGAAGGGGGACGGCGATTCGCATAAGGAACAGACAGACGGACGGCAAAAATAACGAGAGCGAGACGTCCCGTCACCCTTGCTAGTGACTCCATTTCCATCTCCATCTCCATCTCCATCTCCATATGCGTCTGCGTCTGCGTCTGCGTCTGCGTCCCCATCTCCAAGCCCAACCCCGTCGCTGTGGCCGGCTTCTTGTTGCCTCCACTGTCATTGCGCCCGCTCGCAGGCTCCCCGCTCACCTCCCCGGTGGCCCTGCTCCCCGTCGTCTCGTGGCCTCGTCAACTGTCAATCTAGTCTCCACCGTTGCGCATTGTCGTTGTCTCGTGCGTCGCACTCATTCCCCGAGAACTCTTGGCCAGGTCATGTCGCGATGATGATGGGGGTTTTTGATGTTTTTTGATGATTCGGTTTGCAACGCAGCCCCATCCCATCTCTTCCCGTCTTGACTCGATCCAAGTCGAAGCGATTGAAAGGGTGCCCGCCCATCCGTGTTTCTCCCCATAACGTAGGTGTCCGTACTCACACTCCCCTCCTCTTTGCAGCCGGTGTGAGCGGAATGTGACTCGATGCAAGTGGACCGGGATTGGTTCTTTGGGCTCTTCTCGGAGCTCTGGGCTCAGGCCAACGTCCACACTCATCTTGAGAAAGTGGCCGCAGGACTGACGGGCTTGGCAGACGTCCTTGTTCACCCTACTTGCATCTTTTGGCACCTGCAGTCGACAGACAACGCACGTCTGCACCTAGTGAACCTGTCTACCTATCCACCTTTCTACATACCTACCTACACCGAAGGTAGGTAAGTACCTGTCCGCGGCCACGGCCCTCGGCTGCATCTGCGGGACTAAAACAAAACCAAACAACTTAGAATAAAGCACCGCGGCCAGAAACGAGCCGGTCAATGTCAATGTCAATGCCAGTGCTGATGATGCCAGTGCCTGAAGCCGCAGTGCAGGTCTGATAGCATCACCTCGGAGGCTAGCCCGTGAGTAACGCCAATCCAAACCAACCCCAAGCCGCAACGGCGATGGCATGCGATGTTGTCACAATAAGCCTTGGAGTGTCGCACTTATTGACGGGAGTGCCTGTTGGCTAGATGTCTATCTGCACACGCAAGACCCAGCAAAACATATGCAAAGACCAGGCGCACGAGAGCGACGCAGAGAAGGAGCCAGATCCAGCCGAGAACCGCGTCGCCATTGGATTAGATTCAACATTGTTCCCTTCCATCTCCAATTGTGCTACCGATACCTCAGACAGCCAGCCCGTCGCCATTCTCCACCATTTCCGCAGGCGTGTGTGGTCCAGCATCACATCACATCCAAAGGGCCGTGACACGGCCCACCGCCCACACCCTCCTCCAGCTCCCACCCGGGCCCCCAGATGAAATGCGAACATATGCCCGGGGCGTCGCTACGGTGCCGTGCGGTGCGGTACGGAGCGTCGCCGCCTTGTCCCAGCCTTCTTGCCTTATCACCGTCACACTGTCGAGTCGGGAGTGTGTTGTCGTTACTGTTGTCGTTGTCGTTGTCGTTGTCGTTGTTGTTGTTGTTGTTGTTGTTGTTGTCCAGATAAGGTGCAAAGTAAGACTTGACCTTAACTTTGCTATCGATGCCCGTGTCTCTGTGCTTTGTCTGGAAGACGGTCCATCAGTTGAGAGGTGCTGACTGCCCTGTAGGTAGGTGCCCGGTCCTCTCTCTGTCTGTGTTTGGCTCTTGTCATTTGACTATCCGTGAGGTGATTCCAACTAGCAACCATCCACCATCCACACCCTACCTAATTATCGATGGCACCTTGTCTCTAATGGAAAGCCGTTGAGGCTCTGCCACTCTATGCTTCTTGGCTTCACTATCAGATGATCCCCGCGCTGTCATTCCCTTCGCCGTGCTGCTGCTGCCGACGTTGTTGTCGTCGCCACTGTCGCAGCCCCTGTACATTTGGTATGTGTCTTCGCAGTCGAGCACCGTCTCGTCTCTTGTCACCTGTATCTCCCGTTTCTGATCTCTGGCATCAGCTCAGGCCAAGACTTGGACTATGACATGGCGGCTGGGGCTCGTACCAGGGGAACCCCATCCCCCAAAGGAAAATCAAACACAACGTCGGGAGTCCCAGCAAAGACGTTAATTACATACCCCCCGTCGAGGCAGCCATGTCTTCAGTCAAACCCCCCCCGATGGGCCCCATTCGAGGTCCCCGACGGACTGGTCACCTGCACCAAACTCTGATTCCTTGATCCCAGCTCCCGCCCGCAGCAAGAGAACCCTTAGCTTACCGCCGCCACCACCGCCGCCGCCGCTGCCGCTGCCGCTATGCGACGTGATGCTATTCCCCAGAGACCGAGCAGTTGCAATAACTACCTTACCTTGTCATCCAAAGCACGAAGCACCGGCCACCATGAGACACGACCAGCCTCTGACGGGCGGCAATAACGGACGTGGAACGACAAGCTCAAGCTTGCCGCCTTGCCGCGATTTTTCTTGGCATTATTCCCTTTCTGTTTTTCTTGTTTTTCCCCCGCTCTATTCCCCCCTCTCCCAATCCTACAAACCCCAGTCCTACAAACCCCAGCCTCCCTCTTCTATCCAGGGTAGTGATTTGCTCCAAAGTTACCAAAATCGACATTACCGTGGCCATGGTTGATGGCTGCAAATCCGCCGAGCAGGAACAACAAGCTACTAGATCCCCGTTTGCTCAATTTTGCTTGCTCATTCGCCCGTCTTGTCTGCATATAAACCACGTTGCCTCCAACCCCTTTCGGAACCCATCTCGGGGATTCGGCAGCTCTCAAGCTGTCAGTTTCCGGCCTGAAGCGTCTACGTCCCCTTGCATGTTCCTCCGCCTCCACATTTCCGGACGGACTGTAATGTCTGCCCGCCGGGCTGCCGGATGGCCGATGCCGGTGCAGCCGCCGGCGCCGAATGACCGCCAAGCCCAATCCCTGGTCTTGGCTTCACGGCGATGCAGTGCGCTCCAATCCAATTGCTCTGAAGCAACAAACTCTTGGCAGGCTCGTAAAAGTGATGCGTCGTGATGCCGAAGACGCGTCTTTGGCGGCGCGGCATGAGGCAGCGAAGCGGCGAAGCGAATACTCTGTATGTAGACAAGGTGCCGCCATGCCAAGATCGTGACTGTTGCCTCAGCTGGCCACCTAGCTATCGTCGTCGATGTGGTCAGGATGGCTAACGGAGTCCCACGGATGCATGCTGAGCAGGTTTGCCAAGGACCGAGCGAGCTACCCGAGGTGTGTTTCCACTGGTATTGCATCTCGACCCTCCGGCCGGTCCTTTGGGCATTTGGACCTTCGCTACACATGAATGATGAAGGCATGGTACGATTTTGTCTGCGCGGCTACCACGTATTGGCTCAAGGGCGGCTTCATCGGCCATCGTCATCGGTGTCAGACCTACTTGGGTAAGGTAGTCAATTGACTTTTCGGTCCCCTCCACTAACCCTATCTCCCCGCCGGTCGAGTCCCACTACCTTAGCACCAGCATCGTCTTGGGCACTTAGCAGGCCCCCGGAACCTCTACCCGCCTACCTGACGTTGAGGCGACGCGACGCGAGGCTTGTTGATGTCGCTACCACTACCACTAGGTAAGGGCACAGAAAAAAGGCAGTGGTGTAGGCCATCCACCAATGCTGGAATAGCAGTCGCTAGCGTCATGCTCCATAACCAACAGAGCATTGAATTCAGGCGATGCAATCCAAAGTCGGGTTGAAACACGAAGGATTAGTGATCAAGGAGAGCAAATCGAGCAACTGCAACATGTTCCGCGGTGAAGGCGGGGTTTGTAGTCGCAAAGTCATCAGGCAATGTCTCCCCTCCACGCCAACGTCGTTCCAACCTTGCGATGTGTAGACACAGCCTACAAGCACAGGCACAGATATGCACATGCAGAATAGTACCTCAGATAGCGCACATATCCGCAGATGCAAATGCGGGCTCGATCTGACGGTGCACGTAATAGATTGACAAGTCGGGCCCTGGTCAAGAATCAGAGGTCAACCATTCCCCTGGGCCCCGAAGCCGAAACCGCAGCCGCCGCCGTGGGTGTGGGCTTGGGCTTGGGTATAGCGACAGGCAATGTCAATCCCGGCGCAGCTCCCATTTTCGCATTTGTGAAATGTGACTGTTTTCCGTACATACTACGCAGTACCTACGGACTTTCTGGGGCTTTGATGCTGTTCTGTTTTTGAGCTCTGTGGATTCTTTCATTGCATGGGTTCGTCAGATCATTCGCATCGACGACAGCATGGTTCTTGCCGGGGAGATTGTTGCACAGAAATTGCCGTGTAGTAGTTGGCGGGGTGCATGTAATTAGATCCCCGACAAAAGTGCCCGTCTCCGTTCTTTGTCTCTCTCTGGGCCAAATTGAATTGTCAGTCATCTGCGGGCGGACATGCTCGCATGTCCGGCCCCACTGCAACTCGGCCCATCTGCCAAGACTACCGCAGTAAGGGCCAAGACGACGTGGAGGGCCGACGCCAATGTCTCCAATGGCGGGCGAGTCCAGGCCCAGCTGCGATCGCCTTCACCTTGCCATCACCTCGCCATGTTATTTTGCTGTTGGAGATGGACAGCGAGGTGAGGTGCGGTCCCTAGATGTCCGCACCGCGCATCATTCTAGTCTACCTTAGTCTGGTTGCTGGCCGTTGCGGCCCGTCTGTTTCCTTGTAAGGTAGTGAGTGCGCTTGCGCAGCATTGGATCCATCCGTACTGCTGCTAACAATCACGGATACATACCCTTACGGACTCGAGTTGAATCGAGTCGCATCGAGTCAACAAGCCATTCACCGCTCATCACGCATCACAAGTGTCCGTCGCCAATCCGACTGTCCCGTCTGTACCGCTCGAGCTCAACGCCGCAGAAGCCGCAACATCCATCCAATCAAGCGGTGCCGTTGACAAAGTCGAGAAAATGTTGCAACTCCACCTCATTAACCCGCCTGCGGTGCATCACAGCCTCAAGCTAGCGAGGCCAAAGACGGCAAGGATCAGTCCGATCCACCGTCGACCCACTTGAAAAGGCCGATTGAAAAGAAATAAAGAAAAAGACAGGGCAGATTAGGGTGGCGCCGGTGGGTGTCCTCAGAAGAAGCTGCGGCACTTAGTAAGCCACCTTACCTACTAGTAGGTACTGTAGATACATACGTACACTTCCCAGGTATTATGGGTCACGTACATAGCAGAGGTATCCACCCTGTGCCCTGCCCTGCTCTTGCTTGGCCCCTCAATGCCGATCAGGATCCCCCATGCATCCCATCCCATCCATGATCCAACCCCATTGCGCTGCCTGTTTGCCATTCTGGCTGGTTCTGGTCGTAGTTCTGGACCCAACTCCAGGGGTCCAAACCCAGCCACGGGGGGGAGGGGGGGAGGGGGGCCGGCCGATGAAGAAGAGCCCACGGAAAAAGAAACCAAACTTGCGATCTCACAATCTGGAGTTCGCGCTAGCGGCCCAACTCGACAAGGACCCCGACTTGCCAAGCTTCCAAGCGCTTGTATCCGTGAGGTAAGTCCGGTACGTAGCCAAGCGTCCAAAGGCATTCGTACGCTAGCGTGTATCCGCACTACCTTACGCTGCACTGCAATTCCCTTGAACCTGCCGACATCATCGCCGGCACCACACGTCAGACAGTACTGTTACTGGGCTATTCTGCAGCGCTGTCCCTCATGCTCGAGCAATGGTTTATGTACTGCATAGTAAGGTAGTGTAGAACTCGACTGTTCTTTTCTCATTCTTCTCTGTCCCTCCCTTCTGCCTCGCCTCGCCTCGTCTCATCTTGCCTTGCCCTACCCGGAGCGGCCAAAGGTTGTGGTCGATCGCCCCTTGGGCACAATCACCACCTCCTTCTCACCTAACTGCCACCCTCACGGTGCTACGCATGGTATTTGCAATTTGACGGAGGGAAATGCGCTACCCCGTCGATGCCGGCACTGCTATCCTCCCACTTCACGCATAATGAACCACTCGCCGTCCGTTTCGCCAGTATCTCGGGTTCCTATCTCGCTTCCTCGTCACCTCGGTTTTTGGTTTTCGGTATGGCTGATCCAACCACGAGCAAGTTGAAACCGTGTCACCGCCAGCAATCACCAACCCCATCCTTCCCGTTCCTTAAGTCACCACATGCCTTAATTTGCTGCGGCGGCAAGCCAAGTTAGGGGGTGCCAGAAGGACTGCGACCAAGCTGCCCACTGCTGCCCGTC